CTGCAAAGATTCATGCCTCTCAAGATGGGCTTGTCCAATGAGGAAGTCCGGAATCTCAAGTGGGAGTTCTGAGATACTGGGGCATTTTTATGGCCCTTTGTTTGAAAGCCTGGTAATTTGCATATGAAGTTTGTATAAAAATTATTAAAGACTCTTAGAACACAAATATGTTGCGTAGGTGTAAACATACAATATACACTCTCAATTAGATCATCCGAATACGAATTCATAGGTACTACACATGGTAGAGTTATATATATGTAAGCTGACAGGAGTGTGTTTCGATTATAAGTCTGCATAACAGTATACAATTTCAAAGACCAAATACACGATGACAATAATATACCCAATGACCTGAAGGATCATGTGTGTTCATTCAAAGAAAGGTTTTCCTATGAATTAATTAGTAGAAAAGTCAATTTCTACACTGCCTCTTGCCCTGGGACATTCAGGGATTTCTCCTGCTTTGCATTCTTTTGGCCAATAAACCCAGTGATATCAGCGTTGGTTGCCATGGAACCAGGGGCCTGTTCGGCTTCCTGGGGTGTTACACATTTCGGGGGGAAGGGTTCATAGGTCCTCATATGGCTTGTTAACTGAGGGGTGTTACAGAGTATTTGTTAAATATAGCTAACAAAATATATATTGTGTGTTTGATTGGTCCAGACGCTACATAGTTGATATTAAAAAAACAAAAAACTGGATGACTATTCATTTCCTACTGTTAAATTCAGAAAAAATAAATAAATACAATTTAAAAAAATAAGTAAATAAATAAAAACACAAGTGTTAATTATTGGACCCAAAACCTCTATTATTACTATTTAGTGCCTAGACTCTGGAATATTCTACCTAGCGTTGTTCGGGAGGCAGACACTCTGTCAGTTTAAATTTAGATTAGACACGCATCTCTTTAACCTGGCATACACATAATACACTATCACATCTCTATAATTCAAATCTGTTAAAAGACTGTTAAGCTGCATTAATTAGGTCAACTGGAACCGGGAACATTTCCCCTAACACCCAAAGTACTTGTTATGACATGAATGGCATCAATGCTAATATTAGTCTGTTTCATTCTTAATCCGAGGTCACCGTAACCACCCAGATCCAGTCCAGAGCAAGACCAGATGGTGCATCAGCACCTAGAAACGAACTCTTCAGCCCTGAATGTCAGACAAGTCCTCTGCACAATCAGACGTATGCTGCAGCCTGGAATTAATCCACACTATGCTGGTTCGGTCTGGCCAGATGACATCACACATCACATGTGGTTGCTGCTAGCCCGCCGGCCTCTGCTCACTCAAGCCCACCGGCCGCCGCTGAAGCAATCCCCCCGGTCACTGCACTCTCAAGCTTGCCGGCCACTTCACTCTTTCAAACCTCTACCCAAAGGAAGAGGCTGAAGAGGAGGAGGCGGTTTTCCAAAGCTCCAGCTCTTGGAAGAGTTCCCAAAGCTCCAGCTCTAGAAGAGTAGAACCTTAGAGTCTGCTCCAGCGTGCCTCTCAGCGCTCATGGACATGGCGTTACCCCCACAGTTCTT